AACACTCTTTTAAAAAATCTCACGCAAGCACTTTCTTAAAGGGTAAAATTACTTAAAGTGACCAAAACTGATTCGTTCCGACGAAAGTAGCTTGTAGTTCGCTCTTTGCATCAACATCGGTGATCTGTGAATCATACCGGATCATTTAATCAATCAAGTCGTGTTCATGATATGATTGCTGGTTTATTTGAAGGGCGACGATCATTGAACAGCTAGACAATTGGTACTGTCGAGACTTCTCGAGCTCTCTCTCTACTCTTTCCACTTCTTCATTCAATAAGAAAATCAGCTTTAAGGCTGCGCTCGCATTCGAGTGCATCACACGTGACAACAATGGTATGAAACAGGCCCAACGATTTTTTTATGGAGATTTGTGGCAAACTCCGCCCAACTCGGTGCCACCCACCAGAACATTTGACCTCTCAATCGTTGTTGGAACCACAATCGTGTTTCCTGATTTCCAGGATTTCTTGGAACCAAGTTATAATGCTTCGTAGATAGCTCCGCTCATTCAGATGCAGGAAACGCCCGCAACTAAGATTTGACCTTCCCTCCTTCTCTAACCTCTTCACACTTGTCCCCGGTTCCTGAGACTCCTCTCTCTTTTGAGGATTCGTAATAAACACTGCTCACTTAAGTACTGCTTACTCTGAACTGGCTTCCCTCAGTTCGGATTTGCTAAGAACACCTTATATATTGCTCTTCCAAACCTATCTTTCCCTCCCCATAGCTTTCCTCTGGCCGACTATGAATTTTTAATTGAGCACCCACTTAGAGAATGCCCTGTCCACTGTGGGCGGGTCTTTCTAATTGGTCTATCAATCCAATGCACACCTTTACCCATTTTCCCGGTCATCGGGCCCTTCTAAACTTTTGCCGTCAGCATCGCCCACTGTGTGGTTCTTTAGGTAGTACCGAATCTCGTGACAGAAGAACAAGCAGACATACATACCCAAACAGACAGACAGACTTAGCGCATTATTTAGTAGGGATACATACCACCTACAAGGGCGGTAGTGGTCTAGTGGGCAGTGGCGCCACTTGCTGGGCGCATAGTGCAGAAGTCATTCACGGGAGGAGTCTCGTCCAGGCCTTCTTTCTCTCCGAGGGCGGTAGACTGACATCTGACCAGGCGCAAATTTTTACACTGCCTTGCTTCACAGCTAGTGCGATTTCGAATGGAGGGAAGGTGCTTGGCGCATCCGGGAAGAGATATGGTCAACGCTTAACCCTTTACCCGCTTACGACCATGCAAGGAAGAGGTCCCATTCAGTGGGAGAGGATTTCCATCATTTACGGAAATTAAAATTCCTACCTGCGGTAGCAAATGTCGCACCCCCCCCCCTTTTTTTACTGGATGAAACCCCAAGGCAGTATTAGGTATAGACTGAGGTGGCCTATTTCTTGCGGAATCTCATATTCAGGAACGACTTCTCTCAAAATCAGCGGAACCAATCACTGTTTCGGGTTCATCTGTTTGAACCGCTATCTAGGAGATCCTCTTCCATCTGTCGTTGGAATATTTCTCTGAGCGATTTTTTTGCACTTTTCTTTTTTGGTTGATTTACTCATTTTCCATTTTTTCAGTTGTGTAAGCCTTGGCGGCGATGCAGCGGCTTGAGTGTCACGTGAAGAAGTATAACTGGGGGAAACGAGGCACCGAGAGCGAAGTGGCGCGGCTGTTCGCCGCCGGGCACAAGAATTTCGAAGTGGACGAGGATGAGACCTACGCTGAGGTGAGTGACCGACAATTTTTGGGTAGGCTCAGCGATTCACCTCAGTGAAATTTTTGCCATCGATTTAGCGCGTCTGGGGTTTAATATCTTTGAGAACGACACAGGTTTTTCTACGACAACGAACTGTACTACAGATCGATTTCCAATTGCAAACCGCGCACTGTCGTCCACAACAGCGACCACGTGTCGTCCTAGAAAATATAGATCGTTGCGCCGCGATCCTGCGGGGCTGTCCCAGCTGATTGTTGTGTGGAGGATCCACAGAAATACCGAGGAGAATTCTCTATTTCAGCTCTGGATGGGCACTCATCCCGATGGATGGTCCCGCGGTGCTTTCAAATTCCGCCACACGCCTTTCATCGTTCATCGCCAAAAGTCATTCTGCCGGCTATTTGAGCAACAACAACTGGAAGGAAGACATTCATCTGCCCTTCATAATGAAAGTCATGTCCATAGCTCGATCGCTCAGTCTCCAAGTACACCCTAATAAGGTTGGTGCCTTCCTATTTATGGTGGAAAGGTGAAGATCCGTTCTTTATACTTCTTTACTGTCTTAACGAGAAGCCTCGCGTTGAATTACTCGCGTGGTTTTTTCGTCTCCATACTAGTCGATTTCGAAAATGATCGAAAGGACGGTCACCTGCGTAAGAATTAGTGGCCAAGCGAATATTCGGGAAGCAATTTTCAGTTCCCCTACTGGAAATAGTCCAAACCAACTATTCCCCAAATCTTTATTTTCTATCGATCCTGCTCAAAACGCATTATGTATACTGGGCCTCCACCTCCCTATAGGCGCCGTTCGCACGCCACGGAACGCGCCACAATTTCATTCCTTGGGGGTACGAAAATTTCGTACGTGACTCATTTGGCCTCCGCCCCAACACAGCTATTATTCATATCACCTGCCTTAATTTACTCATGAAATTTACTTATTTGTGCATTTTTATTTGGTTATTATGTTAGCATTATTTCAGGAACAGGCTGTTCGGTTACACGAGCGTGATCCTATTCACTACCCAGACCGACACCACAAGCCAGAGCTCGCATATGCACTCACACAGTTTGAGCTATTATGTGGATTCAGGCCAGCAGCCGAAATTCTTGCAAATATTGAAGGTGCAAACTTTAGTCTATTTATTACCATAATGGTTAATATGTTCATATCAATCATTCCTTGTGCGACAGCAGTGCATTGCGCGCGTAAAATCAATAGCGATTTTGAAGCGTAACTTCTACTTCCTGCTGAAGGAAGCTGCTCAGTAAGGTGAATAATTTCCACTTGAATTTTCCGCTCATTCAGCTTTTCCACCATTACGGTACGTCATGGACAGTCATAATTGCGAGAACCTGCGGATTGTTTTGGGCAAAGAGAAGAATCCGCATTCTTTGAAATGTCGACAAGCGTTGGCGGCCTGCTTCGGGTACTCTTGAAGAAACGTACTCCTTTGTCATTCCGCTTCCGCCATCATTAGTGTCTCAAAAACAAAACACGACAACTGGTTTTAGGGAAATGATGGAAAGAACTCGACGTCATCCGGCTCTCGTTAGCGAGTACGTCGATGAACTGATTGAATGCCTAGATAATGGAGGTGAGCATTTTTGAACAATTTTGAGTCCGGGATTGAAAAGCTTCAGAAGGAACATGAAAGGGATTGGGGTAGAATTCCGGAACTCAGGTGAAAAGAAGAAATGGAAGGTAGAATAGAAATCACTGAAATAAGAGAGTGAGGGCGGAGTAAGCTGACAGGTTCAAGGGTACGTTCCAGAGCGACTGAATATTGTAATCAATTCCATTGTGTAAACGTATGAAAATATAATACAAGGGGGGGCAATAAAAAAAAAGACATTTTGTCTCCAGACTCAAATGGATTTAATCACACTTTGCTCAGCTCAAAGCGTGTGCTCCCAACTAGAATTGAAGAGCGCATTTCATTTCATAAGAAAATCTTCATAGTGGCCATCTACGTGGACGGCATCAGAAAAGTTTGCCCCGGAAACATGGTGCTCTGGTCGAGCTCAATGGGGTTCTCGACTGATCGTGTACCGTTACGACGGGTTCCGAAGGGCGGGTTCCGAGGGGGTTTGCATAGTTAGAGCTAATGTCCCTAGGAAACTATCCCACGTTGAATCGATCCAAGAAATTATGTAAGAGCTTCAGGCTGAAGCAGTTACTGTAGGCCTCCCTGAGCTCGACGACGGTGACAGATGACGTCATATTCTGAAGACGGATGAGGTAGTGAAGGAGGGCCTGCGCACAAACGCATAAGAGAGCATTTAGCGAAACATTTCGCTGAAGACAATTCCGTCAGCGAAACGGCAAAATCTCTGGAAGAAAAAAAGGCCGAAGTGCGACTAGAGCAAAATTTTTCTTTTTTTGCCCCCCCCCCCTGAGATATGGCATTCGGGTGGCATAAACTCAAAATTCTGAAGATATTTGTTCTTTCAGTGCGTGGTTGTCTGAGCGAAGCTACCGTTAAAGTGATTCAAAAGATGTCCGTTGATTTCTCCGGGAGACGTTGGTGTGTTTTCTCCACTGATTCTGAATCATATGATTCTCAAACCAGGGGAGTGCTGCTACTATGCTGCTGAAGAGCCTGCACGCCTATCTTAGCGGAGGTACTGTTCAAACTTTTCTTTCAATAAACCCTATTCACATTCAAGTTTTCTTTGACTTTCCACTTCTATGATTTCCTGTTTTCCTCAACCCAATATTTCAGAATGCGTTGAATGTGTTGGTTGCTCAAACAACACAATTCGAGCTGCAATGACTCCCAAGTTCATTGACAGGGACGCATTGTGCGAGGTGAGTTCTGAATGCTATCAAGCATGCTTCACTGGTTGCTGCAAACAAACGAAAATAGGTGCTGAATTACCGTATGACGCCACCAGAAGACTATCTCGTACC